TCAGCAGTCAAAATGGAGAGTAGTCTTCATTTTGTTGATGGGCGCCCTGTCCTTGGAACTGTTTTATAAGCAATCATCCAGTTACTAAGGGGACAAATGATGAAAGCAGAGGATGAACAGCTGGTCTTAGGGGAGCCAGGAGGGCAGCTGGGAGAACAGCCAGTGGGAATCCGAGCGGCTGCTCAGTGATCCGGCAGGGACGCGGCTGGCTGTGTGAACGAACTCTCCCAGGCTTCACACTCTGATGCATCCAGAACAGGAGACTGCGCACTCTCAATGAGGAACAAATGTGGTTCTTAGGAAGCCACATTTGAGCCTTGATAAGGCCCTTAGTGGGCTCTGGAGAGGAGAGGGATGCTAGCTGGGAGGGCTGTGGGGAATAGCTCAGACTGAACTGAGAGGTGGTGGAAAAAGGAGGGATGTGGAGAGGGCTGAGTGAGAGGGGGGCAGGGAGAAGTAGGGCCAATGTCCCTGCAGGCTCCACCCCATCCCCACCCACAAAGTCAAGTCTAGGAGAAAGAGAGAAACACAGGACCAAGTCCATGAGTAAGGAGGAGCAGGCGAGTGAACAATCTCACCTGGAGGTTTAGCGCACCCAAAAGCACAGCCCCACCTTCTAGGTCCCCACCAACCAGGTGGGACAGGAAGTGCGATTTAGTGACCCAGCCTCCTGCATGAAGCAGAATGGACAATCCATCTGCCTCTTGCTTTCTGAAGCACAGTATTCCTTGCGCCTCCTTGCCAGCGACTGGCACCTCCACCATCCCTGTTTGCCCAGCCTTTCAGACTACCTGGCTCTGACACAGCTCCCTGGGTCCCATGCTGAGACCAGCTCTTGCATGCTTGAGCCTTGACAGCTGGCCTAAAGATTCCGGCTGTTGTGCCCGCTCACGGCATGAGTGATGCTGATGTGGATGGAGCCTCAATGTGCCATTCTCCTTTGAGCACTAGATTTGACCATATGCAGGGCAAATTACCTCTTTATTCCTCCGTATCCTTATCTGGAAATAGGGGCTAGCAATTGTCCTAGCTCAGAGGATTGTTGTGAAAACTAAAAGTCTTAACACATGGTAAGCACTTAGCAGAGTGTGTGGCATGTAATTGATATTAGCTGTAGTGGGGATTAATACGATTATTATTAGTCAATCCTCCATCAGGGAAGCTCCACAGTGAGCTTGGTTCCTCTTGCTCTGGCCTTGACCAGGTTTTTCTGCCTACACCCCCTCCCAACTTCATGGGGCCCTCTTCCCTCTCCCCCAACCTCCTGACATGCACACACACACACACCCCACCCATCTTCAGATACTACTACCCATGTCAACTTGACGTGGATCTGCGGAGAAGCTCCGGTATTCTCCTTCCCCACCATGATTGAAGGTGCCTTGATGGGTCTGGTATTGATTGGTCTGGCATTGATCGTTCCTCATCAGTGTTGATGACCACTTAGACCTGGAGTTTGGGATTCCATTTCTGCTCCACACTAGAAGCAACATTCATTTGCTTAAATAAACCTGTCCGTGTATACCAGCAGGTACACACAGCTCATGCTATGTGGCTGCCAGAGGTCAGTAAGGAATCTCTACTCCTTGTCATCACGTGGGAGTTCAGAATGACAGAGTCCCATCTTGACACCTGTCTCCACAATCCCACAGGCAGGGAGAAGAGCATGGCAAAGCACTCTGTGACTCTGAAAGCTTCCACCTGGAAATGACACATGTCACCACCTCCACCCCCAAGGGACCAGAAAGAGGCTGCCTGGCTGGAAGACATTTCCTCCTCCCAGACATAACTGGGACTTTTCCTTGTCATCTACACAGGCACCTTCTGCAAAGAATGTGCACAAGTATGCGTGTTTCTCATTAAAACCTAGTGCATGAAGCCATCAGATTTGTTCAGATTGGCCCAGAATTCAGAGAGAAAGCTGAGGTTTTATGAAACTCCCCAACCAATGGGAAATTCATGAATTATTAAAAGGATAGAAAAAGAGACCTGAGGAGGAAGGGCCGCTCCATTATTCATCAGGCCCGGAGTCCCCAAGTCCCCGAGCACAGCTGTTGGCTTTTACACCTACAGCATTTTCCCATTATGTCTACAGTGAGCGTTTCAAACACACCGTATTGGCAGCCTCCAAGCAGGGCTCCCACCCACGTCGCCCACTGCCTGTCTCATTATCTGAACCAGTCCGCAGCCCCACTGTGGGACACAGTTGTTGGCACTGCTCACCCACTTTCACTTCCCAGGGTCCCCGATCACAGACCTGAGGACCTGGGGGCCAAGCTCCTTGAAATAACTGGAAGGCCTCACCCACTCTGGCTCCAGTTGTCTCTTCGGTTTTTTCTCCCCCGTTTCCCATGCCAACCCTATCTTAGACCATTCCCTTTCCCTAAATAAAATTTGATATTCTCAGGTCTTTGCCCAGGATGACCCCTTTGCCTGAAACTCCCTTCCCAGCCCTCTGTCTACCTGGTGAATTTCTATTTATCATTTACAGTCAGATCAGAGGGAGGGAAATTAACTTTTGCTGAGAGCTCCCTGTGTGTCAGACCTTGTGCAAATGCAATCTCACTGTCATAACCCAGTGAGGTTGGTGTTATCACCGACACCAGAGACACAATTTTGTGGGTCTGGTGAAACAATTAAGATGTACCCCTTGTTGAAAACCGATTAAAAATTTTGAGATGGCAAAATCAGATCATCAAACCAGGCACAGAACCTTCCTAAGAGCAGGGCGTTCAGACCCATGGAGCCAGCTTTGGTTATAGACAAGTGAAAAAAAGAGGTTAAGTAACTTGTCCAAGGTCACACAGCCAGTTAGGGGCAGAGTCAGATTGAAGACCTCATTCCATCAGATCCAAATTGCTGTTCTTTCAACCACACATGTTGTAGGGACTTCCCCACTTGCCTTAGGCAGAATGACTGGGGAGGAGGCTGTGGGCACCCTTGGACACTAGCTTCCCTTTTAAAGGGTGTCTTCTGCAGGCAATTGATCTGTTATTTCTTCATAAGAATTGCAAGATGATCCAGAGAATAGGCTCACACAGATCAAAAAGGGGGCATATCTAGGGAGCAAGTGGACATTCTGGGATTCCTCAATTAGCTCGCAAGGGAGAACATCCCCTCTCCCACCAATCCCTTTTCTGACACCAGGCAGTCTGCTCCCCCCTACTCTATACACATACTCTTCAGTGGCTGGAGGACATGGCAACGGCCTGAAGAGGTGACCCACAGGGCATGGATCCCAGGCCAGCCTCTCTGGCCTTTGCCAGGAATATGAACAGCAGACCTCAAGAAAGGCACATCTCCTGGGCGATCTCCCTGTTTTCATCTTTCCATTTCATTGATCCAACTCCCTCTGAGGTTTTGTTTGGTGGTTTTCTCCTTGGCAGCTTTAATCTTGGGGACATGTGTCCAACTTCCAGTCATTCACTAAGCAAATACTATGTGCCTACTATGCATCAGACCTTCTCCTTTTAAAGGGTCCTAGCAGAGTTAGGGAGATTGACAGTAAAAATTCATCATTGCCATACTGGTGAGAGCTGTGCAAGAGGCTCCTGGGCCCAGAGACGAAGAAGAAATCCATTCCTGGGTCAAAGGGAGCAAACTGAATAAGGTCTTGAAGGATGTATAGGAGCTTTCCAAGTGGGGTATAGGGCAATCCATGCAGAAGGAACTAGCACATTTGGAAGAGTCTGAGGATAATAGGGGTTGAGAATTTGAGATATGGGGGCACTCAATCCGGTGGGAGATGTGGTCACTTGTCATATAGGGTGAGGCTTTTCCATTGGGTGTTCTGGGGGATAAAGAAGAACACTCTTGGGGTAGGTGGGAAAAGGGAGAAAGAGCTGGAAACTGCGTAGGCTTAAAATACTGTGAATAGACACCTGGTGTATCCTTTCCATAAACCTTCAGTTGTCCCTGCTCCACATGGCCGCATTCACATGTGACAAAGTCCTCCACAAAGACCTCAGCAACATAGACGCTTCCATAAGGGTTTCTGCCCTACAGTTTTAAACAAATACGTTCTCTGCTGATGTCTCATTATATTTGCCCCCAAATATTTCCACACTCCACATCTTTGACCCCTCATGGTCTGCAAGGACGTTACAGGCCTTCGAGGGAAGCTGCTGGTCTGTGAGTGTCTGCACAAGTGTGCCGGACAAAGATAGCGGCCAGGCCGTTTCAAAGCAGTAAAGATGCGTGGCTGCACAAGCCAGGACGAGTTCGCCCTTGGGTTCGCCATCCAACCTGCTGACTACACTGGTTCCAGCTGCCACTTTCAAATCAGTCACAGATTAACAAACATCTCTGGGGCACCTACTGGGTGCCCAGGACCCAGTGACTAAAGAAGAAATTAGAAGCCAAAGAAGGAAGAAATATTTACATGTTGGTTGTCACCTTTTACTGGACGTACATTTCCATTTTACAGTTTAGTGGGGCAAACGCATTGCGTAAGGCCACACAGTACAAAAGCATAGTGGGGCTTTGAAGGCTCGGATTTTGCAGCTAGAAAGGCCTGAGCTGCAATCCTGGCTCTGCCGTTTTCCAGCTGCTTGTCCTCAGACTCCTCACTTAATCACCCTGTGCCTCAGTCTTCACATCTGTAAATTGGGATTTGTGCGAGAATTAAATGACAATACAGGTCATTGAACGCTTACACTAGTAAGTGCTCAATAAATACTTGCTGGCATTGTTGTTCTGTTATCGTCATCATCATCATTATCATCCTTATTTAAAAGCAGCAGCAACAGCAGAGGCAGCAGCCCCAGCAGCTGGAATTTGAAGGTCTGACTCCAGGCAGGGCCTCCCAGCCCGATGCGGCCTCTGAAAGCCTCTCCTCTCCCACGCCAGCCCCCAACTCTTCACCTGCCACCCCCACGATGGTGCTTCTCCCAGAGGTGCTCACTTCCGGGACTGGAAGACCTCATCCTCCGGGGCCCAAACCCCGCCGGCAGCTGGCAGTGCAGGGGTGGGGAGGCCCCGCCCCCGGCCCCGCCCCCGGCCCGCCCTTCCCTCTCGGGGTCCGGGGCTCGAGCTGCGGCGGCGGAGGCGGCCACGGTCACTGGCGCGGAGCGGTTCGGGCTGACCGGACGGGACGGGCGTCCGGGGCAGCCTAGCGCGGTACCTCCCGCCCCGCACACCCAGCCGGGAGGGACACTGGACCCGGGTAGGGGATCGCGGCCGCTCCAGCGAGGTAAGAGCCGGGAACACCGGGAGAGACCAGCTCCTCCATCCTGGGGGTCCCTGGGGGCGGTCTCCCTCCGGTGCTGGGCCGCGGCGCCGGGCTGCACCCCCAGCACCGCCCAACCAGGGGTCGGGGCCGGAGATCCCCCGCGATCGCGCATCCTGGAAGGGCAGGGTGGTGGGTAGCGCGGGCGGTTGTGGGCGCGTGTGCGTCTGTCTGTCCATCACTCTGTCCCAAGGATGTGTCGGGGGAGATGATGACGCCCCCTCTTTGCAGTCGCTTCTCGGCAGTTTACCCATGCTAAAGCTGAGGGCAGACTTTTCACGACGGACTTGAGCGGGGCTGGCAGAATTAACCGGATAATGCAGGAAGGAATAAGCCCACCATCACCTGTTGCGCTGGGCTGTCGGCCTCCGCGGGTCCAACTCCCCGCTCATCACAACAGGCAGAGTGGCCTCATTTCTCCAGCTTGTGGGACCCGGGACTTCCTTCTCCTGAGGAGGTGTCCCTGCCAGGAGCCACTGAGCAGAGGTGGGGGTGATCAGGGTGGTGTGATGGGGACCCGCAGCAGGTGCTGAGTGTGAGTTGTCCACCCCACAGGCACACCCCAGATTCGGATTTCCCACCACTCCAAAGCTCCTTACTGTGATTACCCCATCTCTTTGCTCTCATCCTAATTTGGCAGTGGATGAAGATGCAGGTTGTTAAAAATGTTAAAGTGAAATCAAATTATCACTTCCTAGGACTGAAAATGATTTGAGAAATAATTCCAGGAGCCTGGTTGGGGAGGAAAGAAGCTTGTCTTCTGTCTAGCTCTTCCAAGTCTGCCCTGGGGTCTACCCCCTGGCACTTGCCAGGCACACCGGTGATTGAGGAAGCCCTTGTTCCCAGAAAGGAAGGGGATTCACCCACTTTTCACTGGATTATCAGTGACTGGGTTAGAGCAGAACCCAGGACAGGATCCCCAAGAGGAAGCTGTCTCAATTTGACAGATGTCACATACAAGCTGTCACCGAGGATGGCTTCTGCTCCACATCCGTCCTGGGGAATGAAAGATGGGGCTTCCCCTCCCAGCCACCTCACACCCATTCCCCTCATCTCCACAAACCCTGGGGCCTGATCAATGAACAGCCAGGGTTGCCTGGCCATTGGTGTGGGACTTGGACTGGCTCTGATGTCCTGGTTTCAGGGTATCTCAGGACCACAGGCATTCTCAGTGGCAGGTTGGTGGCACCTCTCTGCAGACCCTCTGGCCAGCCCCTCATGCTGAAGTCTCCTGCCTGCCCGAGAAGCCCTAGCTCTGCCTCACTTCTCTGCTAATGTAGCCCCTGGAGGTAGCTAGGGGACACCCATCTCAGGGCCAGGTCCCCAGGATCCCTAGCAGGGTGAAATCTGTGCTTCTGCCTGAGACCTCCCCACCCCCAAACCTCCTCCCTCTTGTCATGCTGAAGGCAGTGGATGTGCTGAGGGGCTGGGCAGTCCAGTTCAACGGGAGATAGGGAGGTGGCCCTGCCGTGTCTGGGACTGTTGGTGATGTGAGAACCCCAGCATCCTGGCTGGCTGCACCCCAGACCCCACAAGCCAACAGCAGGCTTGTGGGAGCTCAGCCATCCTCAGGCTTATAAGCTGGGTCTCCGTGACTTGGTGCAGGGGGAGACTGGCTGAATTGTTCACGCTTGTTTGGAAGATACTGGCTTTAGATTGTTGTGGAAAACGTGGACTCCCAACCCAGCTAGGTCCCTGACTGTGTGACACTGGCCAACTTACAGAACGCTTGGAGGCTCAGCTTCCTCATCTGTAAGATGGGTCTGGCGGGGTGTTTTGAAAATCAAGTAAGGTCACCAATGACAGTGTCCGTTTTACTGGAGGTTTGGGGCTGGTGTTGTGGCTTCTGCTTTCCCCAGCCCCCAGCCTGACTCTCTGACATTGGCCTTCAGGGAATAGGCTGTGTAGCTAGGCTCCCTCATGCCATCCTTAGAGGTGGGGGAAATGGTGTGAATTTTAGTAGCAGGTTAGCTCACAGATTGAGTTTGGATTCCCAAAAAGTGAGGATAGAGGATGTAATCCAGTCTCCAGCAAGCCCTGTCTCCGCGGGCAGCTGGCGCTTCTGTCCCCAGCTTCTGCCCCCAGCCATTGGTGTCCTGGGACTGCCCCACCCAGCCTCCCGGCTCTTTGACACTTGGCATGTGTCTGCTCTGTCATCTTATTCTGAGTTTTGGGCCAGTGCTACTCCCTGGCAGAATTGGGACCAGCTACTGGTGACTTCAGGGGCACCAGGAAAGCCCCTGCCCACCAAGTATCATCATGTTACCTGGAACCTAGCCATCTGATGCCTAATATCCCACCATTAGAGATTCATTCCTGTGGTTCATAGTCTTATGTCAGTTGCTAAACCTTAGCACCAATCACATTTTTAGAAGCTTTCCGGACCTTGGAGAGGAGACAAAGAGAAGGCAGAACAGAGAGGAGGGAAAGAGAAGCTCGGGGAATGTAGGAGAGAGAAGATTGTACTTTGCCAGCCTCACAGTTCTGCAGAGACAGGCCCAGCTGCTGAGCTCAAGAAGGCCCCAGGGAGAAAGAGAGGCTTGGGACCAGGGGGAAGGGGGAAGGGGCAGGCTTCAGGCAGGGAAAGTTCTGAATCTCAAGTGGGAATTGTCAGTGTGAATACAGGGTGGGTGGCAGGCCTGCGGCTGGGTTGGGCTCTGGCAGTCTGTTAGAGGTGAAATAGGCTCTGGTGCAAAAGCCTCCTTTCTCTTCATGCTGCTCTACCCTCCTCTCAGAACACGCCACGTGGTGTTTCGTGTGTTCTATGGACGGTGCCCTCTGCATTAGGAGAGGTTGGCCTGGTCAAGCTCGTTGTTTAAAATTGTCAATGGTAATTTGTTAGGTCAGCAAAATGACAGGATATCCCCTGCCTGGCTGTGCCTCCCTGAAAATTCCCCTGTCACTCCTCTTGCCCTTTCTTGAAAGAAGCAAAAATGGCATCATTCACTCAGACCCACTAGTCTCCTGGGCTGAGAGAGGCCTGGGGGAGCAGGGTTCGACTGCGATCACCCTGAAAAGGCTGGTGGAGGTGATTCCTTGCTCAGCTAGGACAAGGTCCTGAGTTTTCTAGTGTGGGGGGCAAGTAGAAGGGGTGATGAAGGGGGTGAGGACTGAGGGTCCCTGCCAGGCTCCTTGAGGGGAGGAGCAGGCTGGTATCACCAGGGTGCTCAGGGGGCTCAATGACGTGGACTGGTCCTGGCTGGTGAAGCCTCAGCAATGAGCAGTTTGCAGCCTTTTCTGGATGCTCCTGAGGGCAGAGCCTGGACCAAAAGCAAGCTGTTTTAAGTCACCAGTATGACCTATTGGCCATGAGCACCCAAGGAACAACCATTCTTAAGAATGATTCTCAACCACATCTGTTCTTAATAATAATGATGACAACAATGATGATAGCAGCTCCTCATTCTTCCAGAATGAGCATTTGTTGAGCACCTGCTATGCATGTGCTGGCTGCTGTTAGGGTATGTTACTTAGATTAGTTATTTATACTATATATACATACATACATACATTAGTTATTTGTATGCTATATATATTAGTTACTTATACTAAGTAATCAACTGTAGTATGATTGGCATTTGGGGCTAACTTGTTCTTTTGTTTGGTTCAGGAGAGGCTGTCCTGGGCGGTGTAGGATGCTCTGTAACATGGCTGGTCTCTATCCATGAGATACCAGTAGCATCCCAGGCCCCCACTTACTCTTTTTTTTTTTTTTTGAGATGGAGTCTCACTGCAACCTCCGCTTCCCAGGTTCAAGTGAACCTCCTGCTGCAGCCTTCTGAGTAGCTGGGATTACAGGCATGGGCCACCACTCTTGGCTAATTTTTATATTTTTAGTAGAGATGGGGTTTCCCCATGTTGGTCAGTCTGGTCTCGACCTCCTGGCCTCAAATGATCCACGTGCCTCAGCCTCCTAAAGTGCTGGGTTCACTTTAGGCATGAGCCACTATGCTCAGCCACCCCCACTCATTCTGACAACCAAAAATGTCACCAGAGATTGCCGAAAATCCCCTGGGAGGCAAAGTGGCCTGCTGTGGAGAACCGCTGGGGATACAGCTAGAAAGAAAGACAAAAATCAATCCTGTTTCTTAGGAGTAAGCATTCCACAGGGCAAAATGAACAATACATATGCTGTACGAGTAGAAAATAGAGGCAGCTGTGTGGCGAAGATGCTAGAAAGACCAAGCAGGATCAGGGGTTAGAGAACACAGGTGAGGCAGGGTTGCCATTTTTCAAAAGGAGTCCCAGGAAGGGCCTCACTGAGCAGGTGACATTAATCAGAGACGGGAAGGTGGGGAGAGCGTGAGAGGCGGGGGCTGGGAAAGAGCTTCCAAACAGCTGCGGGAAGAGAAAGCAGAGGAACATGGAGGGGGTCAGTGAGTCTGGGGGTGGGCAGTGTGGGAGCAGCTGGGTGGGCTCTGATGGGCTCCCCCCGTCACAGAGGCCTGTGAGCTTTCTCCGTGATTAAAAAGGGAAGGTCAGTGAGCACTCACTACCTGCTAGGTGCAAACGCCATTCCAGGCTGTTCCCTGCACGAGCACTGAAGTCCTATCAGGTAAGTGTTGTTCCTTTACTTGGTCGCTCAATTGAGAAAAGCAAGACCCAGAAGGGTTAAGGAATTCGGGCAGCACTGTTGGAGCGTGGGGGTGGGCTCCCCACTCTCCACCATCACACTAAAATGTGAACTTCTGAGCCACACAGAACTGAGTTCAAATCTAAGCGCAGTCTCTTACTAGCCGTGTGGCCTTAGACGAGTCACGGACTCTCTCTGAGCCTCGGTTTTCTCTGGGAACTGGTGATCCCCACTTTGTAGGGCTTTTGTTGGGATTGCTGTCCTCGGTGCCCCTTTGTTCCCCCTCTCAGTGCATGTGCACCAGCGAGAAGCCAGAGGGCAGGCAGCCCCTCCCAATCCACCCAACCACGGGCATGTGCCCTGGACTTGGGCATCTGTTCACCGAGCTGCA